ATGTGAAACCATTTAGTGAACTTGGATTATCATCATAGAGCTCATGGAGCCATGTTTCTTGCAATGTGATAATAAAAGTGTTGTGATAGGAGAGACTGAAGATGCATAATCTCACTGGGAGGAAAACGGTAGTTTGTACCAACGATAACAGGAACAACAGTTCGATATAAAAGTGCCGTTTCACAGCACGCTGCCATCCACTATGATGCTTTTTCTTAGCTTTCTTAGAACCTTGAAAGTCACTTGGTTTCAAACGTTTTATGAATACGTGATGCGATATGACGTCGTGTTTTGATAAATAAAAGTAAAATTAGGTAAGTTAAACGCTCTACATAGGTGGAAGAATAGGTAGCCCTACTTTCAAACAGGCACCCAAAGTCATCAAATCGCAAAAACACGATCATTTCCAAGTCTGTCGTCTTCTGCCCTTTCATTTGGCATCGCTGCCGCCAGAAAGTGAAGATCCCACCGCCGGCTGCTTTCGAGAAAGGAGACATCATTAGCTTCTTGCGGGACTACTAGGCCTCCAGTGAGTTGGTGGGTGCCAGTGATCCGACGGCAAGGGCAGTGGTGCTGGGGGCGCCGGTGGGAGGTCGAGTAAATGCGGCATATGACAGTGTGGGGCGATCAGATTAAACCGAGATCTGGATGATTGGCTGCAGAGTTCGGCAGCTAAACAGACATTTAGCTGGCGATGCAGCATTACGTGTCGCTGGGCCGGGACGGGAAGGAGATCCCCTAGTATTGTCGGCGAAGCTGAGTAATCTAAAACGTCGGGGCACTACCCACTTTAGATGAAGAGTTGGAGTTGCAGTTATTGGCGCTTCAGTTCATTGAGAGTTTCTCAGACTACATCTCTCAGCAATTTCAACTGTTGTACGCTGTTAAACCCAAGGACATTGGTAGTCTAGCGAAGGTGACCACACAGCTGTTGAGTACAACGGTAGCGGCAATGCAGTCACAGAAAGTGGACTAGTGGGAACAGAAAGTTGAGGACTTTTAGCGTGAAGTAGCAGCACTACAAGTGAGTGGCAGAAAAGATCAATGCGTTGAATGTGCCAAAGCAGGACACTGGAGGAGGCACTGTCCAGATATAAGGAGAAGAAAAGTATTCAGACAGTATAACGTGTGTTCTTCCTTTTCTGTCAGACGAGGATGGTGGGGTTATGGAGAGGGATCTATGTTATCTGAGTTGCGAGTGAATGGCCAAGAAGTGGTAAGTTTAGTACATACATAGGCAGCAGTCTCACTAATGGAGAGGAATTTATGTCAGAGCATCAGACCGTGTTAATTAACAGTTCAAACTGTAGGCGGGTACGTGTTAAATATCGCCTGCATGTCAAACTGTAGAGTTTTTATTGGCGATCGCAAAGCAAAGTTCCCGTTCATTGTTGTGCCTGAGTTACGGCGAACAATACTTGGCGCTGACTTTCTGCTTGAGGTCGGCGCGGAAATTAAGACGAAGGAGAGGGCAGTGATTACAAAGTACGAATACGTCAACATTTATGAGACAAGCGAGACAGCAGGCGTTAAGGCGTTGAAAGCACAGTATATGACAGCGTCAGTTGAAGAGTACGACTATCTGTTCATTAGAGATAGGCACCCCTACGGTTAATATGATAAGTTCAAGCATGAAATCCCGCTAAGCGTTCAGAAAATTGTACCGGTCACAAGGCGAACTGTCCTATGTCATTTAGAAGGCGAGGTCGAACAACAAGTGAAAATGTTACAGGATGATTTATTCAGAAAAATAACCCATATAACCTCCTATTTATTTTAGTGACGAAAGCAAACGGGAAGTACAGATTCTGCGTCGAAATCCGACCGTGGCCAACTGTAGTAGAAACACTGAATCTTCTACGGTTCCGCATCTAAACGGATCACAAACCGCGATAATACCTCAAGCTCTACGCTATGAGATGATATAAGAATGTCACTAGCTAGGGCATACAGGAGTAGCCAGAACAACCGACTTCTCGAGACAAAGCATTTTCTGGCAACGTATGAAAGAAGATGTGAAAAAATATATACTTGAATGTCCGCAGTGCCAGTTGATGAAAGGAGATCGGTGCAAACAGCCGCCTCTGCAGTCAATTCCAGTCATGGTAGTAAGTGACTTGTGGTCCGTAGATGTGATGGGTCCATTTCCGCAGATACATAGTGGCAATCAGTGCATTGGTGATGATAGAACACGCTACACGGTGAGTAGACGCCGACTCAATCCCTGATCAACGCGCGAAAACCGTGACTGACGCGGTAGTTCGACATATCGTCGCAGACCTTGGTGTGCCGAAGACGACATTGACAGATCAGGGCCCTTGTTTTGAAAGCGAAGAATTCACTTCTTGTTTGCAGCAGTTGGGTATCAAGAAGATCAGAAAAACACCACATCATCCTAAAATGAATGGTCTGACGCAGAGAAATGACCGTACACTGAAGGATTGGATGGCTTCGAAGGGAGGAAAATGGAAGAAACAGTTTCCATTGATTCTACTAGCACATCGTGTGTCCACCCAAGAAAAAGCACACAGTCACCATTCCAGTTAATGCATGGGAGGAGACCACGACTACCAACACACAGCACAACCTGGTCCTCCATCAGGAGTGGAATATGACGAGGCTGTGAACGGAACGGAAAGAAGCCGTCAGGAATATGAAGTGTAAACAGATGTAAGACGCCGTGAAACCAGAACAGGGAGGAAAATCGGGATGCATGACCTTTGAGGTCGGCGATTAAGTACAGTGTAGAGGAAGAGAGGACCCGAGCAGATGTAGGCCAGGTTCACGGGAAATCCTCCGGAAGCTGGAAGGGCCACACACTGTCATGAAAGGAAGACAAAGAAACACAATATATCGACCAGAAGTAGCACAACATGGAAGATCTGTGTAAGTGGTGTTTTGAAAATCAGGTATACATAATTTGGCTATATAGAGATACCAAATTGCAAATAAACATTCCTTACCAAGTCTTTCGTTCTCTGCCAGTACAGTTATAGTTCGTGACAAAAGGCCAGAAGTGCAGTATTAAAATCACTGCTAGAAAAGAGAGGGTTCCATTGCAGACTTCGAATGAGGTAGTAGCCTGTGTGTCATTCAGCTTTTCCGAAGCACGTAACAGTTTGGCACAGATTAGAGCGTTTTGGCGAACGAAAGTTCGTGCTAAAATGAGGGATTATGTTGTAGTGATCATTGCATGGAAGTGGTTGGCTGACGAGTATACTGGATAGGGGGTGTTTTTCAAAGAAATTAAGTCCAAGATAATGCGATTTTGAGCTGGCTTCAGAACACATTGTGTCCACCTCTATAGCTGCATCTGGAAGTATACTATAGGGGTGAGAAGCACCGATTGTTACCACGAGACTTCAGGCATGTTGAAATTACCTCTAGTGATCTTGCATTTGGAGTTAGTGAGAAGTGTGGTGAAAAGGTGTGGTTATTCTATTTAGCAGTTCACTGTCGGGGTTAGATGAGCGAAAGATGCAACCGAATGGTAGACTTTTTTGTTTAGTGTTGTTGAGTGTCACCCACAGTGCACCACATACACATTGCAGTCTTCTTGGTGTACAGCGTTACAGTCAGATTCCACACAGACAATGCATCCCCGCCACACCGAACTTGTCTTTCCTTTCTGAAGACTGAATAACCTTCTCACTGACGGAAGCCATTTATTTTGAGTGTACACTTAGTCTCTGTACGAGAGTATATCTTTACTTTTATTCAGATAGCTAGGTGCGTAACAGGAAACTGAAAACTTGAGGCGAATTAAATTTGTTGCCTTGTGATTCATATCGCAGAGTGGTATGGCAGTGAAAACATATTTCTTTAGGAAAAAATTAGTTATCTACTGTAGATGATGATCAAACAGGCATTGGCAACTGAGCCGCGATTTTCACAGTGTAAATAAAATGTACCGTCATAACCTCTTAAACGTTTACTGTTCACAGACAAATTTTTAAAGTCGCTGGTGTGGTACAAAAATTAGAATCACTGTTAAAATGATAATCTGACACCCATTGTTTGTAAAAATCCTAAGGTCTCACATTCCATCACTTCTTTTTTATTTAGAATATCACTGGGCTATGCGAACTCTTACATAGATTGCAGTAAAAAGCTCCTTGTAGTTCATCAATTAATGCTGTGCGTTTCATACATAAGTTGTCAGTCCTCAGTAGATAAATTCATTACATTCATTGAGTGTATTGACATGTTTCGTAATCAAAACAATCATCTGCAGATTTAAGGCGCAGTGTGCATGAAAGCATCTAAATATGCACCAGGTCCTGTACTCTCTTGGTTTCAGTGTTTCTCTAACTGAAGTCATTTCGTTTTTAAAACAAAATCAATGAAATCATTGCAAACCGATGCTTGAAAACTAATTCGGTGCTCACTAGTGGCTAGTTAAAAGACGAAGTTACTTCAGGTTTAAACCACATTAGCCCATATCTTCTTATTCAACACATTGCATACAATGTCATTATTTGACAACTTGACTTTGTTTGCAATAAGAATTTTCTTTTGGTACTTTGTTGATGTCAAGTCTTATTGATTTTTCCCCTACGAGGTCTTCTTGGAGATCTCACTACATTTTTCTACTGTCATTCGTCTCTAAACTAAGGGGAAGCTCCTTAACGTTCTCTTGATTTGAACAGCTTTTTAGGCTGCATATAAACATTACAGAATTCTAAAGTAACTGGGAGGGCGTTGGCATATAGGGAACATAGGTATCACACTCGAGTCGCTTGTAACTCGTCTGTCACTCTTTATTTATAATCCTAGAACCCATTGAGCACCATCATGGTTTACATTAAGGTTATTACCACACATTCCGTTTGGATGTCGAAAAAATTGCTTAATGGCACACACAGAATTTATTGATGTGCATAACCATTCATTTATAATCAAAAAATTAATATTTTGAATGCTTTGAGAGCCATTTAATTCTTTAGCTCATCATAACTTGTTATCCCATGGAATCATAATTGTCACATTCACTGTGTTTATATACTTCAAAGACGCTTGGTATTAACTTAGCGCACAAACTGAAATTGTTTTTGTTCAATGTAGGTTGTATATTGGTTTGTCTTTAGTATTATTTGGTTTCGTTGAGATTATTCTCGTTATTTTTATGTTGGTTCAATTTTAATTTACATAAGAGAATTTTGGAATCACTGTCTTTTAAAAATGGAGCATTTGTTGCCTGGTACTTATAATATAAATGAACTCTCCTCATGTATTCTGCTTTTATCTTCAACCAGTAATTATTTATTAGACCTTATTTCAAATCAGCTTACAAATTAATTAGGACCGGTTTTTCGTCTTACATTTTCATCCAAACTCTGCTTCAATCCCCCACATTATTTTATTGATTAATATAATGGTTAAGAAGTATATTAATTTAGCTTATGTACATGCCTAAACTCAAATGAGTGCTTTGAAACAATTTGACGCGTAGGATTTATCGAATCTGTTTTGAGTGGATTTTAATTGTCGGTGGTATTTTAACTTGTTGAAAACGTTGACTATAATTATCTGTAACATGACCTGATGTATAGCTTGGTGTCTTCATTGTTAGCTCACCTGATGCCTGTTGTAAGTTCTTCACTACTCACGTACTTGTGTAATAGGGCGGCGCTTATATTTAGATTGATTTTCCTGGTTATTTAGTGGAAATAGCAGTTACTTATATTCCCTTGCTTTTTATATGTTATTAATAACGCAATATATCGAGTGATATTTTATGTAGAATCTTATTTTTTCATACAGTGACAAATACCTTATGTATAACGATTGGATAGTTTAATAATACCTTTGACAACTGCTTGTCGCCAACAGAACACTTCACAACAATTCTTGGGATAACTCTTCATTCGTTATTGGTGACTTTTCTTCGCTTGTAGTTCGTTTTTCTCTTTACTCATCAAACTTTATTCAATCATTTGGCTTGTATGCACCTTTTTTGTTCCTCGGGCTATGCGTGCAAATGGAATATGATACGTAGTACTGTTAAGCTACCAATATCTTACTAAACTGATAAAGTTATCTCAATAGTATGACAATATATTAAATCCTTGACGTTTACGTTTGAATTACTCGAAGTCTTTTAGTAAGACATGGACAATATTAAATAGTCTCCAATCTCTTCTTCTTAGTTAATGCAGTTGTATTTCTGAATTTGAGCCAGTTCTACACATGTCGAAACATTTTAATGTAAGGAAAAAAAGTATTACTGCACTTTTCAATTAGTTAATGCTAGAACAATCTCCAGCTTTAGATAAAAGTTTTGTTGTTATATTATCATGTGCATAAACTCTTCGATAATGTTTGTATCATTCTATTGATCAGTATTTCATTAAGCCGTTGTGAAATGTTGCACTAATTATCATTGTCTGTAGGTGTAAGCACGTGTATTTACAGTAAATAATTCTCTTATCTCCGAAATGTTTGTTGTACATCGAGAAGCGAATAAGTCATTGGTTTTTAAAGCATATCATCTTACCTGCATTTTCAGAAATCTGATTTATTCAGAAAATTTGAATATATTATACATGTGCATTACACATTTTAGAATTTTTGTCATTATATTCGAAATATTTGACTTCTACACTTCATGCCTTAAATAAAGAATGTGAGTAGACATTACGAATTCCATGAGTTAGTTCTCTATTTGTGAATAGGTAAATATGTCCTCTTAAAGTCAGTAAGTTACACACTCCTAGTTCAGATTCAGATTTAAAGAATAGAAGGCTCTTGTTGCCTATGTTATTCCTTGCGATATATATTTCTGCAGAGATCTAGTTTGTCTTTGAAAGCTTTCACCGATGGAGCTGTTACTACTGAATCAGGTAATGAGTTCCAGTCGTTGACCACTCTGTGATAGAATCTAAATTCCACACGTATTTTATTCGACCTCGGTTTGAGTACCTTTTTGTGGTAATCTCGTAAATGTATCCTAGAGGATGAGAAAAGATTTGAAAGGTGTATCCCTAAATCACCCTTTAATATACGGTATGCCAAAATTAAGTCACCTCTCCTCCTTCGGTATGATAATGGGAAGAGATTTAAGTGATCCATCATCTTATCATAGGGAAGGGGTGAGATACCACTAACTAGTTTGGTTCCTACTCTTTGTACTCTTTCTGGGATGTGTGCCTCGTTTTTGAAGCATGGACTGACCGCTTGTATGCGGTGTTCTAGATGAGGTCTGACACATGTTGCATATAGTACTTGGAACATACATTCATTTAATCGTTTGAAAGCCCTTCAAAGTGCCCATAACATTTGAAAAGTCATGGCTTACAATAATTCCTAAGTCCTTTTGTCCCATTAACATCTGGCAGTTCCGTGTCCCTCAGGGAGTACGACGTGTAAGACCTCTAACCAAGGTGCATTACCGCGCTTTTCTTGGCATTAATTCCCAGACTCCAGAGGTTAACCCATTCAGCTAATTTATCTAGATCCTTTTGTAGTACCAACCTATCATCGTTATTATTTACAGTTTTCCATATCTTAATATCGTGTGCAAATAATAACGTTTATGAACTGCGTATTGTTAGTAAAACATAGTGGTTTCATCATAAAGTGATGTCAAAGAGTCAATCTCCTAAAATCACAAACTACTGGCTGCTTGTTTCATTTTATGTTGAGTTGCATTTGTGATCATATCGGCTTAAACTACTCAAGGCATGAATGTCACTTTAGGAATAATCATTAAGAGGCAGTTGATGCGAAATACAAGTCTATTCTTCTAGTACTGAGCACATATTTAAGTGATCATTTATTTTCACTATCCTGTTTTTTTAAAATATTTTATAATACTGATGACACCTTCGTTTCATTTATCTAATAGGATTTGGATTTCAAATTGCTTCATTTTAATCACATCAATTTAAAATAAACTTGTCTTATTATCGATCAGACACACTAAATAAATAAAAAAAAACACACAACAAAAAACAAAACAATGCGTGACGGAAATCCAACCGAACGAACTGCACTCACCACTGGTGGTGGTGCAGATTCTTTCGAGATCACAATCAAAGACTTACAAAAGATAATGGATTGTCGTAAAACAGAAGCAGTTAAATATATCAATGAAAAATACGGTGGAGTTGTAGGATTATGTCGATTGCTCAAAACATCTCCACAAGATGGTAAGTAGTGCTTATTAAGGTATTTCACATAAATTCATGCTATTATAATGCTGATAATTCTTTCAACATTGAAAAAAAGTGTATGAAACAGTGTGATAATATATTTTTTTCCCGTAGAATTTTATATTTTTTTCGTCTTTTATTTTTTCAAACTCACTTGAAAATGCTCAGTTATGATGGTTTTGTCAGTTAACACATTTTCCTTCCATAAAACCTTTCCGTTTTATCTGCGTGTATGTCATTAACCAAAGTGTAGTTAAATCGTAAGGGGAAAAAGCTATCTTAAGCTGTTGTATGCTTGAAAGGTGTTGAGAAGAGGGTGAATAGTTATGAAAGAATGTCACTGTTATTTGAGTCCTAGTCGTGTTCCTTCTCTTAAAACACTGAGTTCATCAGTTATCTATTCCCAAGATTTATTGGAGATAAAATGTATCGTCTGAAAAAAGCTTTCACAGTAAAGATAGTTATCGATAGTAAACTAAAATATTTGTATTCTATAAAATTTCCTTCTGCATATACATTTCTGCCTTTATTATACAGTTTCCTTAGAAGATGATTTTCCCACTTCATATAGGGTTTACATAAAAGTATTGAAATTTACATGGAGGATTTCATCATGAGCTGACATCAGTTAGAGAACCACCGGAGAACCTGGGAGTACTGGACAGCTGCTTCGTCCTAGTTTGGGACTCTTCAGTAGCACCCACCCACCGAGGTTCGAACCCAGGACCTTCTGGTTACAAGGCGAGCTCACAGACGATTGAGCCATTGGCTCGCCTTGTAACCAGAAGGTCCTGGGTTCAAACCTCGGTGAGTGCGTACTACTGAAGAGTCCCAAACTAGGACGAAACAGCTGTCCAGTACTCCCAGGTTCTCCGGTGGTTCTCTAACTGATGTCAGCTCATGATGAAATCCTCCATTCAATCAAACAAAATCCCTACGAAACCAGTGCTTGAATATTGAAATTTAAACGAATGTAAAGTATGTAGTAACATTTTTTAAGTCAGTAATAGACAGTAAAAAGTAACATTAATAATTCGCGTTTTCTATGAAATTGTAATCTGCTATTTTCTAACATTTGACTTCTACATGTTGCTTTCAAGAGTTTCAAGTTAATTATGCTAATAGGTAGTTGGAAGCAGAAGGGGGAGTGGGATGGCTTGGACCTAGATTTCCTGCTTTCTGATGACTGCCAACAAGCAAGAAATCTAGGTCCAAGGCTTCCTGCTGATTGCCTTCAACCATCTATGTATACAAATCGAACCCCGACATCCCACGTACGTGCGTGGTCAGCGACCATTCTACCATTGAACTCCACTAGGCGTCGAAATTGTGCTTTGATACAGCAAGTGCAATAAGTGTAGATGATCCAGCGGTAGAATGCTTGCCAACCATGCATCACGTGGTCTGGGGTTCCAACTACCGCCCACGCACTCCTATACCTTGCTTGACCGGTAGTGAGTACGGTAAAGATGAGGGGGGGGGTTAGGTGCCAGGCTAGCAATTTTACCCCGTAAAAGTAAACAAAAGGAATAAAATAAATAACACAACAAGTACTATTAATTTTAAAATCCTAAAAAACGATGCTCAGCGAAGAGTTACTCCTCTTTTCGGTGATATTATTCTCAAGCTGTACAATTGCACATACCTAGTATATTCTCTCAGTAATAAAAGGAATATTTCTAAAAATGGTTCATTTTTTTATTCCTTTACGTTCCCAGTGGAACATAGGACTTCAAGCTAGAGGCTTGAACTTTCTGTAGCAGTGTTTATTTTTACTGGATAGGGTTGCTAGCCTCATGTCTAACCTTTCCTCTTTACCAGCTTTTTTAAATATTGGCCCAGCGAGGCGAAAGAGTGCGTCAGCCGGGAATAGAACCTCGGACCATGTGCATGCTCGGCGAGCGTCCTAACCGCTATGCCACCGACGCATAAAATGGTCCATTAGAATTGGAAATTTTAGAGAAAAAATTACGTAATATAAAAAAGTGTTAATTGGGTAGAAACTATAATAAAACTCAATAAGTAAATTTGGTGACGTAATATAAATGACGGGATTAAGTAGAATTCAACTAGAATTGAACGAGAGTCAAGTTAACAATAGTGATAATAAGGGGTAGAAATTTAATAATGGGCGAGGGAAGAAAATAATACAATTAATTATTAAAACGAGAACCAAGACAGATCAGGTCCATTGTAGATTTAACAACTGAACAAATTTCTTTTGTATGCAAAGTTCACGATTTAACATGTCAATTACCATTGCTTCTACGGTTTGAAGAAGTTTGATTCGTACTCATTTAGCAAGATTCCTGCGTATTCTCTAGATGACTTTGAAGTTGGTTTGTGGGTTAGCTTGGTGGACACCAGATTCGACCGGGTGTTTTAGCATAGAGCTGTGGGGGGTATCACTTTTTTCTCCTTTATAAAACCATGAGCGTAAGTGTATGATGATACGCTTGGATAGCAAAAGCTTGGTACAACTGAAATACCTAGCTCCACCGAGCAGATGAATTGATAGGTACACTTAATAGGGACTGCTTCACATTATTGCGAATCATTGGTTTTTGTGGAGAAAGTTAATTGAAGTTCAGCCGCGAAAAAGGCTTTCTTCAATGAACCGGACAGGCAGCTTCTCAGTATTTCTACGGAAAAATCTCCATTCAATTGTAGAATCTCAGGTAGAGAAGTCTTTTAGGATCAGAAAGTGTGGTGCGTGGAGTTAATGAAGATAATCAACCAGCACTAATCACCATCAAAAGGAGAGATTTAACACTTGTCACTTCCTTCACCTATCTAGGAAGCACCGTTGAAAACACAGGCGGAATAGATGAAGATTTCAAAGCCAACCAGAATCGGAAAGACAAGGTACACCTTCAACACTCTGAAATCAGTCTGAAAGTCTTCTATATTCAGAACAAAGAACAAGATTCGGATTTTCAACACAAATGTTAAGTTAAGTCAATCAGTCAGCGCTTCCATATGCGTCAGAAACTTGGCCAGCGCCTCACGAAAAGCATTTCCAACAGCTCCCAGCTGCAGACTTTTATCAACAGCTGCCCTCATCGCTGGCTCCATATTGAAGATCAAATGGTCGGTTGGCCAGAAAGAATTAGTAACAAGAAACTCTGACTGGTGGTGACGAACCAGTCAAGAACCAATTGCTCAACAAATATGCAGGAGAAGGTGGAGATCGACTGGGTGTACGCTGAAGAGAGCCTTGGGTAAAATCACACTCGAGACCATTGCTCAGGGGGAACCTGAATTGGGAACGACGAGTTGGGCGTGGGTTCGAGAGTGGCGTGGAGGAGATCGTTTGGGACGGGAGGAGCTGAGAGACTATGGGCAAACGTGGGCCCAACTAAAGAGGACCACAGAGAACAGAGCAAAGCGGAGGTGTGCAGTTGCAGCCCCTATGTTCCACTCAGAACCCAAAGGAGCAATAATAATAATACTAACTCTGGCTAAATGAAAATAAACCCTTTTCTGTCATAAAACCAACTGATAAGAATTTATAAATAAAGTACGAATTAGGTACACAGATTTGTATTTAAAGAGGGGGGGAGAGAGACTCAAAATGTTTGAGCACGCTTTGAGTGAATTTTAAATATTTATAGTTTCTTATTTCTCTATCAAAGATATACTTTTTTAATACATACTCAACCTTATCATCTATGTGAACATGAAACTTTACAGTGTGGTGTTTATGAGCACACACTATGAAAACTTGTTTTAACCTGTTCTTATTTTTTCTATACATAATAAATTCTTTCACTGCATACCACTTTTAACTGGTATTGATTATTTTGTGACAAATTCCATTAACTTTGCTATTTTATAGTCTAACTAACATTGTTTGGTATTCACGTAATGAATATTTTGTAAATATAATATTAGAAAAATAGTATAAAAATAGATTAGTGTTGATATATATATATATATATATATATAAACTCTAATCAAGATATGATTGAATGCTTCCACAAATATTGAGTGGCGGGTAAATAATAGAGACATATTTACAAGTGATATATATATATATATATACACATGTATATGAATAAATCTCAGCAGCAAACTGGTCTATAAACTTTTTTCTCATTGTTGTTGTTGATTATTTTTCTGAAGAAGTCCGTATAAGTTTATCTCGAACAAATTACTATTATTAATCTTGTTCCCTTGGGTTCTGAGTGGAACATAGGGGCTGCAACAGCACGTCTCCGCTCTTTACTATTCTCTGTGGTCCTCTTTAATTGGGCCCACGATTGCCCATAGTCTCTCAGCTCCTCCCGTCCCAAACGATCTCCTCCACGCCACTCTCGAACCCACGCCCAACTCGTCGTTACCCATTCAGGTTCCTCCTGAGCAGTGGTCTTGAGTGTGATTTCACCCAACGGTCTCTTCAGCGTATACCCAGTCGATCTCCACTTTCTCCTGCATATTTGTTGAGCAATCGGTTCTTGAGTGGTTCGTCACCAGCCGAAGTTTCTTGTTACTAATTCTTTCTGGCCAGCCGACCATTTGATCTTCAATATGTAGCCGGCTATGGGGGCAACTGTTGATAAAAGTCTGCAGCTGGGAGCTGTTGGAAATGCTTTTCGTGACGCGCTGGCCAAGTTTTTGACGCATATGGAAGCGCTGACTGATTGACTTAACTTAACGTTCGTGTTGAAAATCGGAATCTTGTTCTTTGTTGTGAATATAGAAGACTTTCAAACTGATTTCAGAGTGTTGAAGGTGTACCTTGTCTTTTCGATTCTGGTTGGCTTTGAAATCTTCATCTATTCCGCCTGTGGTTTGAACGATGCTTCCTAGATATGTGAAGGAAGCAACGTTTGTTGAATATCTCCTTTTGATGGTGATTAGTACTGGTTTTTGTTGTTGTTGGTTGGTTGGTTATCGTAATCAGCACCTCTGTCTTCTGTATGTTCACCAGAAGTTTTGTCTTCTCTGCTTTTTCAGCTGGTTTGTCTGCTTTCGTATGTATGTCTTCGAGTTTG